TAAAAAATGTAAAAAAAGAAAACAAACTGCAAAAAAAAAGAAAAGAGAAAAACACTTAGAGTAATCTTAATCTTGGTTCTTTTGCAAGATCAACAAAATTCATAAAACTTCATTTAGATTTACTAAGGGAAAAAAGAGAGAAAAAATATCAGAAGTTAAAAGCAAAAAATTGGACACTACTACTAATTTTATAGAATTTTCTATGTATTTTTATATCCAAAATATAGAATTTTAAATTACTGCTAATTTTATATTTTCTATATGTTTCTGTGTTCTAATTACAGAATTTAATTGAAAAAATTATAAGAGAGTATGCCAAATATTTGGATAACTTATATAAAATAAAGGAGTTCCTAGAATCACACAACCTACTGAGAATTATTCATGAAGAAATAAAAATTTAAATAGACCCCTAACTACTAAGAGCATTGAATCAGTAATCAAAATCCTCCCAATAAAGAAAACACAGTACCAGATGGCATCACTGACAGATTCTAACAAACATTAAAAGAGGAATTAATTCGGTCCTTCTTAAACTATTCTGAAAACTTTTAAAGAAAGGAACACTTATTACCTTATTTTATGGGGCCAGTATTACCAAAGCTAAAGACACTAAAAGAAAAGAAAAGTACAGGTCAGTGTCCCTTTTGAAATACTGAAGTAAATTACCCTCAACAAATAGTAGCAAACAGAATTGAACAGCACATGAAAAGGATTATATGTCATGGCCAAGTGGACTAAATTCCTGGAATAGAAGAATCATTCAACACACTAAAATCAATCAATGTAATATGCCACATTAACAGAATAAAGGAAAAACAAATTATCTTTTCAATTCATGAAGGAAAAAATTGAAAAAATTCAACATTATTTCATGATTAAAAACAAAAACAAAAACATCTCATTAAACTGGGAATAGAAGGAAACTATATCAATACAATAAAGGCCATATATGAAAAATCCACAGCTAACATCACACTCAATGGTGAAAACCTTCCCTCCAAAGTCAGAAACAAGACAGTGATGCCTGCTTTTACCATTTCTACTCGGCATAGTACTGAAAGTCCTAACCAAAGCAATTGGGCAAGAAAATGAATTAGAAAGGATCCAAATTAGAGAGGAAGAGATAAAATTATCTGTTATTTATGTTTGAAGATATAAAGACATAAAATATATAAAATATTCATTATCATGTTATAACTAATATGTGAACTCAAGGTTGCAGGATATAACACCAACTTGCAAAAATCAGTTGCATTTGTACATGCTAACAATGAACAATTTGAAAAGGAAATAAAGAAAGCAATTTCATTTATAAAAACATGTCTAATAATAAAATACCTCAGAGTAAATTTAACCAAGGAGGCCAAAAATGTACACTGAAAACTACAAAATGATACTGAAAAAAATTAAATAAGACACAAATGGAAAGACATTCATATCATTGATTGGAAGGATTAATTTTGTTAAATGTCAATACTACCCAAAGTAATCTACCGATTCATCGCAATCCCTGTCAAAATTCCAGAGGCATTTTTTTGCAGAAAAAGAAAAATCCATCCAAAACTTCATATGAAATTTTAAGGATCCCCAAAGAAACAAAACTATGTTGGAAAAAAAATATTGAAGATCTCACACTTCCTTATTTCATAAATTATAGAAAATTTCAGTAATAAAAACAATGTGGCACTTTTACAAACATAGATATATACACATGGACATATACATATAGACTTATAGAATAGTGTCAAGAAATAAACTCTAATGTATATGGTCAAATGATTCTCAACAGCAGTGCTAAGATCATTCAATAGAGAAAGGATAGTCTTTTCAACAAGTGGTGCTGGGAAAATGATATCCATGTACCAAAGAATCAAATAGGAATATATAGGGGAAAAGTTTCATGATATTCAATTTCACAATTATTTCTTGCACATGTCACCAAAAGTGGAGGGAACAAAGGAAAAATATATAAATTGGATTTCACCAAAATTAAAAACTTCTGTCTATCAATAAATATTACCAAGAGAATGGAAAGACACATGGAATGAGAGAAATATATATGTAAATCATACCTGATAAGGGGTTAGTATTTAAAATATACAAAGAAATCCTACAATTCAACAATTAGAAAAACAACCTGATTAAAAATGGACTTGAAAAGACATTTCTCAAAACAAGATAAACAAATGACAATAAGCACATGAAAAGATGCTTAAATAACTAATCATCAGGGAAATGCAGATCAAAATGACAATGAGATATCACTCCACACATGTCAAAAGTACCGTTACCAAAAAGACAAGAGGTAACAAATTCTGGTGAGGATATGGAGAAAAGAAATCCTGGTACATAGTTAGTGGGAATGTAAATTGGTAGTGCCACTATAGAAAACAGTAACCTCAAAAGATTAAAATTAGAATTACCATACGATCCAGTAATCTCAGAGGAAATTAAACCATTATCTAAAAGAGATATCTGTACACTCATATTCATATCAGTATTATTCACAGTAGCCAACACATGAAGATGACCTAAGTGTCCATTGGCAGATAAATGGATAAAGAAAATATTGTAGATATAAATATACAATGTTATTCAGCCATTTAAAAAAGAAAGAAATCCTGCCAATTATGACAACATGGATGGACCTTGAAGGCATTATGCTAAGTAAAATAAGTCAGACAGACAAAGCAAATATTGAGTAATTTCACTTAAATGTGGACTCTAAAAACATCAAACTCATAGAAACAGAGAGTAGAACAGTGGTTGTCAGGACCAAGTGATAGAGGAAACTGAGAGATATTGGTCAAAGTGTACAAACTTTCAATTATAAGATGAATAACTTCAGGGTATCTAAGGTACAACATGGTAAATACAGTTAACAATACTGCATTTTATACTTGAAAGTTTCTATAACAATAAAGTTTTAATGTTCTCACCATAACAACAAAATTATAATTATGGGAGGTGAAATATGTTTTAACTAAACTTATTTTGGTAAATATTTTACAATATATATGTATTTCAAATCACAACATTGTACACTTTAATTTACATAATATTTTGTGTCAATTATATCAAAATAAATCTGGAAAAATAAATA